GATGGTGTAAGACATGAAAATAATACTTTGTAATTTATCAAGGGTTCACGAAGGTAGAGGGTGAGAGAGAAGGAAAAAAGAGGAGCTGATACCAAAGGCTCAAGTATAAAGAAAATTTTTTGAAAATGATGGCAACATATGTACGAATGTGTTTGATGCAACTGATGTATGGACTGTTATAAGAGCTGTTAAGAGCCCCAATAAAATGATTTTATTAAAAAGAGAAAAAATAAAATTACAACACTTACAGGTGGTTGTAATCCATTTGTTAATATTTGAAAACATCAAATCTAGTTGCAGCCCACTGTTCTATTTTATTGTTTACAGTCTAGTATCATTTAGTTTTTAATGTAGTAAAACAAATGAGACATACCTTACTGAGTTGTAGATCTGATCTGCTTGAAAAACCACAATCAAAAAGGATTTGTCCAAAATTTAAAAAGCAATCAAATGTCAGAACATTTTAAATAAAAGCTGTTTTATATAAAGGGTAAACATATTTTGGTCTAAATCTAAATTTGGCATGGTCTAATTATATAAAAAAGATAGTACTACTGTGACATTTTTGCAACAGAATTTGTAGCCATTACTTATAAGCTGAATCATCTATGTGTGGCAGGAGGTGCCAAACAATTTTAAACAAATAGCTCTTTGATGAGAGTAATTTTTTCTTCTTGCCATACAAAAGGCCAGAATTAATTTGAACCTGAATTACACGGCAGCTTATAAACAAGACATTTTTTCATTGAGAGAATACCTGACAGAAATACCACAAATGAGGAATATATATTATAGTATGTAAAAATAACTCATTTCGGCTCATCTAATTTCATATTTCATTATGCAATGTTTTTAAAATACATTTTATTTTGCCATGACTATACTCAGTGCAATTCTAAAATGTCTACAAAGCTGATTATTTATGAAAATGGTAGGCTATATCAATATGGTATTCTGTGAAACATGATCTGACACTAGAATGGCCAACCTAGAATTTCAGATTTAGTTCCCTTCCCAAGTAATTTAAACTGCTACAAGTAATATAACTAGAAATGATGTGCATTTTCCATCGGGAAGATGCAGTATTTAAATATGGCAAACAACTAACTTTGCTTACAGTACATAAATTTGTTATATCTGACAGAAAATTTCATGTATACAATTTAAGAACATACCCGTTAATCAGAGATCCTTTTAATTTTCTGGTGGATTTTATGCCTTCCTTTGCTTTGTATTGTTTATTAATTTGGTTTATCAGGGATTGTGTTGCATTAGTAAATCCTGCCCCTTTTGAATTTTCTCTCTGAAAGTGTTAAGTTATTTATGTAAAAATCTACCAGTTAAACTTCAAAGGAAAAAAGCTAAAAAGGAGATTTAAGAAAGTTCTAGCTCTGTGTATACTCACAAAGGGCAGTAACATGGATCAGAAGTTACTGGTGCACCTGGGATTGGTTAGGCATGCAAACCATTGCCCAGCACACAGCAATGTGAGAGCGCTCTGGCACAGGTACCCCACACCTCACAGGAAACCCAAACACGAGGCTGAGGAGGCCCAGGGTTAAGAATTCTTGTCAATATAAATAATTTGGTTAAGAAAAAGCTCCAATATGAGTTTTCTTGGTTTCATTTTTACTCGCCTCCTCCCACAGGAATCAGCCATGTGTTTTGATACACATTAGGCAATAATTATTAGTTACTAACCCTTCTTAAAATAACCAAGATGAAAGCAATTTACTTGGCTTGCAAAAATAAACCTTGCCTTAAGTAACATATGATTCACAACTTGCATTTTAGGAGGGGGATAACAAAACATTTGTGGAAAACTGAACTTAAGGGAACAGAATGTTTCTGTGAACAGAGAGGATTCAGCCTAATAGCTGAGCTCTATAGGAGAGGGAACCACCAAAGGCATCAGGATCTAACAATACAGGGATCAAGGCTGAAGCGAACCTCTAAATATAGAATGTTCATTGCCAAAAACCAGAGCGAGGTATAAAGGAGGCGATTTGGTGGATTTGTGTGCATTAAGAGAAAGGAATGAGTAGACCAGGGAACTTCTGTGAAGTGAGTCTGAAATGCAAAGGTAATTCAGCCACAAGGAATCACACTTCTTGGGACTTGAGGAATTATACCACTAAGACTAGATGGAACCAAGAAGCAAGGAAGCAGGAACCAAGAAGAAAGTGACCCCAAGGATTTGGCTAAGGAAGAAAGAAGCCAAGTTACACACACAAGAGAGCAGCAGATAACAAACAGAGCAGACTGGTAAGAGATCATGTGAAGTTCTGCACAACTATTCGACTTCTCCGTTAAGGACCTCATCAGTTCATTTAGATGCTCCATCCTGTGAACATGTTAAGTTGAAGAGTCTAGAAAATTTGCTATCCAGCTACTAACAATTCCCTAGAAGATAAATGCAAATGAAAGCCTATAATGATGTTAACCCAGAGAAACTGCAGGACCGAGAAAAGTTGCTCCATAGGGTCTCAGGCTGCAATCTTTGCAGACGCAGACTGGCTCATCTTATGCAGAGCAGCTAGTGGGTTAGAATGACTGGCCTTTGGGTCAGCAGTCCGATGCTTAACCCACTGTGCCACCAGGGATTTACTCTTCTCTTAAGAAGAGTAAAAATCAGATTACATTTGGTAGTGGAAAGATACTCTGATTTTAATTTTTACATCTGCACCTTGATAGCAACGACAGAAAATGATGGGAGCTGCAGTCACAGTAAGATGTGGTGATATTCTACCAAGACCGTCTCCCGATTTGCATCCTGTCTTGAAAAGCCTCACCATGGTCTATGACATTCATCCAAGAAATGTTTGCACTGCCACTGTGTAAGAAGCTGTGCTAGGCCAGGCAGAGAACAGAGGGTAGAGTCCTAGCAGGAAGTACTCTGGACTAGAAAGTACCATGAGAGAGGTACACCAATTCCAGAGGCAAGCTCAACAGAATGGGAGGGGGCCCAGGAGGAAGAATCCAGACAAAGGTGCCTGGGAGCCTGAGATTCCTCTTATCCCTCCCTGTTGAAGTGCCTCTGCCTCTCTGCCAAGTACTCTGCCACCAGGGCTGGACAAGGGAGCTGAGTGAGGAGATGAGGAGAGACACTTCCGAGTCCAGATACTAGATTCAAAAGCAAGGTATTACAAATGGGAGTGGGCAGTATGAGCCAGCCACCTTTCCACCACTTCTTTATGTCATTAAGTATACTATAGGTCTGCAGAAATCAAAACACTGAAAGCTTACCTTTTTCTTCTGTTTTAAATCACAGAAATTAAGGTCAGAAGCCAGTTTTTTTCCCGATTTCCTATGACTTTGCACATTGTTCCTAGAAGAGTTTTTGTCACAAACAGTAGTACAGATGTCTTTTGACAATATTAATTTTTCCCTGTAGATCAGAGATTTTTCAACTGTATTATTATTGTGCAGCACTGATTTAAACGTCGTTTCAGATTCGATGCGCCAATCACTCTGCTTTGTTTGTTGAGTATTTTTCTCCTTCAAGGGTTGAGAATGCTTTAGTTGTTGTTGACAGCTTCTTTTACAAATTTCGACTTGCATTTGGTTTACTGTGTTATTCACTGCTAGCGCTTTTGTACTTTGCATCTTTCCGGTTTCTTCAAAATTATCATCGGATGTTGAAGAGGCTGACTTTTGTCTAGGAGGTTTTTTGTGGACAGCATATTCTAGTGGGAAAATAAATTCTTAGTAAATTTAAAAACGGATGTCCAATTTCTTAAAATTGAAAATGTAAGACATTTGAGGAAATGACCTGTTACTCAAAAAACACAAACAAAACAAGACAAAACAAAAACCCTCACTGCCATCAAGTCAATACTGACTCATAGCAACCCTGTAAGACATGATAGAACTGCCTCCTGTGAGTTTCCAAGACTACAGCTGTTGATGTTTGCTTGTATTTTATTGACTATGTAAAGGCATTCATCTTTTTAGTTCATAACAAAATATAGATAGCATTGCCAAGAATGGGAATTCTACAATACGTAATTGTGATCATGTAGAATCTGCACAAAAACTAAGACATGGTCAACAACAGAACATGTAACTACTGCACCAAGACTACCACTGTTTATGGAAGTAGAAAGCCCAGTCTTTCTCCCTCGGAGCTGCTGGTGGGTTTGAACTTTTGACCTTAAGGATTGCTGCCCAATGCATAACCACTATGCCATCAGGGCTCCTGAACTATTATTACATACAGATAAAACAGTGTTTCACCTTGCTTAGCTGGATCTTTTGATGAAGTATTTTCTCTCTGGTTAATAACAAGTTCAATCTTTTTTTCAGGGGTCCAGTATGCCCAGTTGGAATGATTTTTGTTTTTACTGATGCTGTGTAAAGCAGCAGGTAATCTAGAAAAGAATTTCATTTACTTGATACATTATCAAATATTAGCCTCTGACATATGTTCTTAGCTTTTATTTTTTAATTTAGTTAATGTTTACTTTTTTTATAAATCCTTTATTGGGGGCTCTTACAGATCTTCTAACAATCCTTACATCAATTGTATCAAACACATTTGTACATATGTTGCCATCATCATTTTTAAAACCTTTTATTTCTACTTGAGTCCTTGGTATCAGCTTTTCTTCCCTCTCTCCCCAGTCCTCCCACCCAATGCTTACTAACTTTATTCAGAGTCAAGTATGAACATGAAGAAAGTCAAAATGTATCCTGTAATTGACCAGATTGTAGAATAAGAAACTACCATTGCTGCTACTACACCTTGTTATCTACCTGTATATGCCTCACACACCCTACATATTACATACTGTGTATTTGAATGACATTAAATATCTTCTCATTCACTTTACTATTTTAAAAATTGCATCCACTCCATGTGTCTGAATTTGAAGAGTTAAATTGGTTGATATGGGAATACCATATGCTCCAACTCTCACTGCACAATCATAATCATGCTTGAGATGATTATGTTATAACCAACATCTATTCTAAAAAATACATGCCTCTTCATTTAAATCTATTGCATCTAAAAATACAACGATAAATGATTGGATGGGTTTTTGCATACTTACACAGGTTCGTCTACTTTTATCACTGCTTGTGAATCAAAGGCGGGATCCTGAAGTTCATCTAAATAAAACAAAAATTGTGGCGTTTCCATTAGTGGGCAGTTGGTAGAGTGGGACAGGCTGGCACGGACTCTTATAGAAGTCTACATATTGGGATGCAGGGATGCATCGATCTGGACTAGACTTCCACTTCTTGGGACAGACTATGATTCATTCTTCTTGGAGCCACAAAGTACCCTGCGCAATGCTGAACACATTCTAAATCTTTCTCGTCAGTGAAAGCTGATGAAGTTAAAAGTAAGCAGAGAAAAGGATCTATTTTTAAAAGTTGTACCAAGTGTAGACCAAGAAGTACTTACTAAAGTTTGGGTTCAGAAATTCATTTTCTTTATTTTCTGTATTTTCCATAACATTGGCAGTTTTCATGGGCTATAAACATAAATATATAAAATGTAATATAAAACTTAATTAAGGCATCATAGGGAAATAACTTTTAAAAGTTACAATATTAAGGTTTAAAACTTCTAAAATAAAATCACCTTGCTATTAAGATGGACAATATTTGTCTATTTCATAAACATCATCCCCATTATAGAAGACTACACACACACACACACCAATGACTTTCTCTGCAGACAAGGAGATCCTGTGCTTATTTTCTGACCCTATCCATAGCTGGTATAACTGTTTGGGTTTTACAATCTCCCTAGCTCTGTCGCTGTGGCCTTCGGAGCCTTCATCTATTCTGATCACTTTACTTCTGTTTATTGTACAAACAACTTCTTGCTTGCAGCACATTTCTCACTTACCACATATACCTCCTTAGATTTAAAATGAAAAGAAATAAATCTGCCATGACTATCAGTAAGATGTGCCCTCTGGTCTGGGGTGTGCCCCACACCCCTTCTATGCCTGCATGATTGAGGGTCTCTGCCCGGAGAGGAGCAACGTGTACTGCTGGGGATGTTCCTGTGGTCGTCTCAACGGCTGAAAGTCAGGTCAACACTGGGACACTTACCCTCCCCTTCAATATTCTGGAACGTGCCCAACAACTGAAAAAATGGCTTCTTTTAAGAAAACTTTACCTAGACTCTAGATCACTGCTTTGAATTTTAGCCAGTAAATCTTTAAAACTTATACCTTTTCTTTTTCTGCCATTGAAAACTCTACATATAACCTCCTCCCTGGGAGACGGACAGCGGAGAAGTGGGTGAAGGGGGACATCGGACGGTGTAAGATATGGCAAAATAATAATTTATAAATTATCAAGGGTTCATGAGGGAGGGAGGGGGAAAATGAGCTGATACCAAGGGCTCAAGTAGAAAGAAATGTTTTGAGAATGACGAAGGCAGCAAATGTACAAATGTACTTGGCACAATGAATGTATGTATGGATTGTGATAAGAGTTGGACGAGCCACCAATAAAATGGTTTAATTATTTAAAAACAATCCACCATCTACCTTTTTAACTGCCAACACCACTAAGCTTTAAAAAATTGCACATATTTACTAATACCATAAAATGTAGTCTTCGATTTAAACTGGACCCTCAGTAATGCCTCACACTTTCAACTTATCCCAAGTCTTCTCCACCGACCTTTCAGTAGCTATTCCAAGTCTCTACTAGTCCCTGCACCCTCTACTTCCAACACATTCTCTCTCCCATTTTACTTTTCCAAGAAAACAGGAGCTAGGTGTTCCTCAGCTACAAACTCTATCGGTATCTCATCCTCTCCTGTATCCCTAGCAAGCCTTTTCTTCTGATTCACGCCCTGCGATAGCTAGGTTTTGTGTCATCTTGGCTGGACCAGGATTCTCCATAGATTGACAGTTAAGGCCTAGTAATCCCTTATGATGTGACCTAACACAATGTCATAAACTCCATATTAGGTTCTGCCATCAACAGCCTATCAGTGTTAAGATTAGGGTGGATGCAACTCAAAACACAGCCGCGATGCAATTGAAAGGAAGTTTCCGGGGGTGTGGCCTGCTTTACATAAGTGGCAAGGTGGAAAAGCTTTTTCTTTTTGCTCTGTCTGGACCCTGCTTCTGGCTCATTGACCTCTTTGGAATTGAGCCAATAGCCTACTGAACCTGGGAGCCATCAGTGGCTTGCATCTGACCTACCATATGACTGCCGGCCTTACATTCCTTCACCTCTTCAGTCCTAAGTCTAACGTGCTGATTTTGGATTCAGTTGCCTCTTCAACCACCAGCCTCTGATTCCTGCCAATCAAGACAGGAGAAGCCTCCAACTTAACAAGTGACCCACAGACTGGGAAGCTACTTGGATTCAGACTAGCTCACTTCTACCCCTGTGGGCCATTTTATTGATATCAATTTCTGTATAGCAATACACAAGCATTATTATTTTTTCTTTTCTAGAGAACTCATCCTAGGACATTCTCTTCAACAACCAGGAATAAATGCCCTCCCCCAGATGCAATCTGACAAACTTTTAACATTTCACTTCCTAGTACTGTAAATAACGTTTTTCGATCTTCACCCAGCTGTGGAATTAGGCACCTGCACCTGACATCGCTCCCCCTCCAAAGGTTCTTATTGTTTTCTGTAATTATATTATTCATTTCTCTAATTCTCATGCTAGAGACTTTGAGATAGGTGAGCACAGAACCTATTTATATCTTACATTTCTATACCAGAACCTCCCCAAAGCAAACATTACTTTGTATATTTGCCGAAAGCCAGATGGCAAGTTCATTTATCCTACCAATTACCATATAGCCTCGAGTATAAGCTGACCTGAATATTAGCGGAGGCACCTAATTTTACCACAAAAACTGCATAAAAATGTGCTGAAAAAACTCAGCATATACACAAGTATATTTGGTATGTAGCTCACTTACACCAAATGTGCTTTAAGTACAGTAAGTTAATCATATTGGGAGAAGGACCCTACTCGTCTTTAAGGGCAATAAATGACATCTAGGTAAAGCAGAAACAACAATGAAATTTATGCTTCAACCCTTTCATGACCCAATTAATTTCTGCTTTAAATTTTTTGTGTATCGAACTTTTCAGTGATAGAAGGCATACTGAAATCGAGGAAACTTTTTTAGGTAAAGTGGATTTTGACACATGACTCATATGCCAAATGGACTATAGGGTGAAGCTACTCTCTTCAGACTCGTGCAGTTTTATACATATCCCTGCCAGGCAGCAGCATGGGTTAGAACTGAGGTAGTAGCTTCCTAGGAATTTTGAGAGGGTGCAAGTGTCGGTGGATGATATATGTCCCAAGGGTCATGAAAAGGATAAAGTTCACTTTTAAAAATATGTTCATCAGTATATATTTCAATAGCATCTTGATTAAAAATTAATTTTAAAGATGTATTCAAAGTAAAGTTACTTTGTCTGTATTGTTGCCTCTCGTTTGTTCTGCAGATGGTTTTAACTTAAGGGGCATAGCATCATTCACTCGCGTTTCACATGTTTCAGAAACACCTGGGTGTTTTGCTGGGCTCATCATTTGCAGTGGTGGCTTAATCCTCCCTCTTCGTGGTGTTGCTAGAGAGAGAGAACAAAGGACAATTAGGTTTCTGTTTTGATGTTACTTTTTAAACTTTTATTAGCTTATGATATAGTTAAAGTTTATTGTGCCAACCTGGCTGATAAACACATGTGGGATTAATTGAAGGGTGGAGAGATAAATGGCTCCGTGAACCTTGCCTTTCAAGTTCTCAGGTCTCTTGCTTTGTGATGGTCGGACCAGGGTGCAGCTGTGTTAGGCAGTTTCCTGCTTCAGCTGGCAAGGCTCACTTCTTGCAAGACATCCCTGAGGAGAAGCCGCATGGACCTACCCCGATGCAGCCCTGGGTGCTGGAGCAGTGGAGCAGCCGTGTGGAGACCCCTGCCAGTGCTGAGAGGCTTACATGTTCACTGATTCGGCTTTCCTCCTGCAGTCGGTTGTCACTGCGTGTGTTTTGTGAGGAGGAGGAGGATGATTTTGTGGATTGGTGTCAGACATGTGGGCTAATGCTGGACTTGTGGGCTTGGGCAGCACTGGGTTGGGATGTTTTCTTGATGTGCACTTACCCTTTATATAAAACTCTCTTATACGTCTGAGTTTCTGTGGATTTGTTTCTCTAAAATACCCAGACTGACACAGCATATAATTCACATAGAATACAATTCAACAGTTCAGTCATATTAAGAAAAGTTGTACTATTATCACCATGATCAATTTTAGGATATTTTTTCTTTCTTGTACTTATTGTTATTAGCTCCCCATTTCCCCACATTCACTGTTATACCCCCCGCCCAAGGAATCATTAATCTAGTTACCATATCTACAGATTTACATACATTTAAAAAAATCCTTAAACAGAAAAGTGGGTGAGGGGTGATGGAGGACGAAGTAAGATATGAAAATAATAATCTATAACTTATTAAGGATTCGTGAGGGAGGGCAGGGGAGGAAGGGGAAAGAAATGGGGAGCTGATATCGGGGACCCAAGTGGAAAGAGAATGCTTTGAAAATGATGACGGCAACATATGTGTCAATGTGCTTGACACAATGTATGGGATTGTGATAAGAGATGTAAGAGCCCCAAATTAAAGTATTAAACATTTTTAAAAGACATAATAATTAAAAATACCAAACAATAAAAAACTAACAAATAGTAAAGTAAAACAGAAAAATCTCTATAGAAAAGAAAGTGGAAAATATTTAAAAACTGGAACAAATTTCAAATGGATTAAAAGGGAGATCAAATGACAGAGTGTTTGATTTTAATCTAACTAAATGTACTGTAATCCACCTTCCCATGCACTCTGCATGATAGCACAGCTATTCACGTCCCTGGTCTACAGTCAGAAGGTTTCATCAGAGGCTTAATCCAGGTGTGTTTCCTTTTCACTTAAAAAAAAACCAAGAAAAACCCAACTCAAAACAACTTTAAAATGGGTCCAAAGGGAGATAAAATGATAAATTATTACATTTTAACCTAACTACATCTGCCACAATCGAGTTTTAAATGCTCTCTGATGTTTTTAATTTAAATTACTTATTAGTATTATTGTGGTCCGCCACCCATCTGTCAGTTTGCTACCCTGTGGTGGCTTGTATGTTGCTGTGAGTCTGAAAGCTAGGCTATAGATATTTCAAATACCAGCTAGGTCACCAATGGTGGAAAGGTTTCTGCAGAACTTCTGGACTAGGAAAGACCTGGCAATCTACTTCCAAATAAAGTTTTCAGCTTTGGGTTTCTCTTTTAAATTAACATATTTTCCTTTGACTGGTGAAAGCTAGCCTTCTGACACTAGTCAATGAAAACCTTATGGAACCCAACAGACTTTTGTCTGCTGTAGTGCTGGACGATGAGCTGCTTATGTTGGAAGACATCACACAATAGCTGGAACAAGTGATTACAGTGTGCCAGTAATCACGGCACAGGAATGGGCAATGGTGTTCTCTGTCCTACACAGTCACCATAGTTGAAGCTGATACAGTGGGAACTAACATTACTGAAATGCTTTCCAGATAAAGAAGAAACCCTGGTGACATAGTGGATACATGTTGAGTTGTGATCTACATGCTCTGCAGTTCAAAACCACAGCTGCTGTGTGGGAGAAAGACAGGCTTTCTACTCCCATTAACAGTTCCACTAATATTTTGAACCCCGAATATATGTCAATAGATAAAATTACCATTTTCAAATCAGGACACATTTGGTTCATATTCTATTACTTTTCACATCCCTAACTAACTTATTTTGTAGGTAAATGATGTCCAAAACTTCCCCTCAATTAAAAATACATACTTTGAAAGATTTCTAACAAGCATTATAGCATTTTAAGACCACGGAACTCACCAATGTTGGTTAATAGTATTGGACTTCTCACAGTGTATCTATCTGTAGCAGGAATGACTAAAGATGCTTCAGATATTTTTCTTTTGGCTGGAGTTGTCACCTTAAACCATAAATATCACAGTAAACACACATCCTCTTTAAAATTAAATATCCTGTTCTTTCACACATAACATTTTGCCTTTATTACATACAAAAAGGTATATGGTTTTTGATATGCAACATGATATATATAAAATCATGTTTTGGGCAAGTGACTTAAAGGACTTTTCCCTCATGTTTGGTCAAAACAAAAAGGTCAGTTGAAAAGAATATGGATAGTATACTCTGACTTGTGAAATATAATTACTTACAATGTACTTTCATATGCAAAGTTGAATAAAAATACAAGTTGAATTTACTTAGTTAACCTCACAATTTTCTTTTTTTTTCTATTTGATCTCTTATCTTCACAGATTTTTAAAAACCTCACAAATAGTCTCTGAGGATTAAACTGCCTTTGTAGTAAAAAGTAGCGATAGGTGAGACTTAGGTGCACACAAGCTAGTGATTCCAGTGCAGTTTATATCCTCCAACATCATCTCAGAGTGATTGATAAGAGCCATAGAAGTCAATAAGCAGAACTGGGGGGCTTTGGAGGATGCCATAGAAAGAGGTAGGCAGCGACATATGTGCAGAGAGGTAGAGGAGGGCTGCTTCAAATGACACATGTGACTGTAAGGCAGGGAAAATATGGGTGAATTATCGAGTAGGCAGAATTGAATAGACATGCATGTGGAATGCAGGCGAGGGTAGAGAGGATAGGAGGAAAGAAAATTCTAAAGCAATCCAGAAAATAAACTATTATGTCAGTAGTTGAGACGTCCTTGGAATGTTAAAAGAACCACCAGAAGCCCTTGGGTTCTACCCACTGGAGATGAAACTGGGATCAAGGACATCCCCAGAAACAGAGATGGTGGCATTTTGAAGCACAGAAGCAAATTCAGTTTTGAGGCAAAAGATAAAGCACTCGAGGTCAGACTTCAATAAAAGGTTTGGAAAGACCTACAAGAGACTGTGTCAAGAGCAAGTGGTGGGGTACTTACTCACCTGTGCACATGCCAGAAGCCCTAAGCTAGGAGAGACAGAGATGCTGAAAAAACTGGGTTATGTCTTCAGGCAAACCCATCTTTAACACAAACCTATCTTTAGGAGGTGAAATACATACCTAGGTGGTATAAGTAGGAAGAAAATTAAAATGCTAAGAAGAACATAACGGAAGGAAAGGCCTCAAGGAAGTAAGGGTGGTCAGCAGTGTCAAGTGTTGCAGGTGGGTGTGGAGAATGAAACTGAGAAATTTTTCTTTGGAAGTGGCCTATAGCAGGTCTTCCATTGAGGAAGGAGAAAAGGAAGGAAAGTAACCTAGTATTTTCTTTTCTCACGTAAATAAACATGGCATTATAAATATGTGACATTAGTTAAATGCAAAAACAGAACACATAGAATATAAAAAAGCAATAGTGGTTTCCTATGTATCTTTCATTTGGAATTTATGAGTGTAAAGTATAACTTCCAAATCCCAACAAGCTACACACACGCACAGTGCTAAAATGCACTACTGTTGTTTTATTTGCACAAGTCTAGAAAAAAATGCTAAAATGTTACTGACCAAGGTTTAACATGATTAATAAATTTGAGGTGCTTTTGTCTGTATATAAAATGACAATTTGATTTTTAAGAGTTGATACCATTATTTACCTCAGACTGACTATTTTTATGAGGCTCTCGATGACTATTTGCAACATATTTTGGAGGCTTAACACATTCTTTTACATTAATAGGCTCTTCTTTGACTGATGACAATTGGCTTTCTGGCACTAGAATCTGTTGGGAGAAGGTGGAAAAAAAAGCACAAAAATTGTCAACTATAAAAGGTTCTTAAAACACTGTTATCTTAGTGATGATTGTCTCGTATTTGCCAATGCCACCTCACATTTTGTCAATGCACGGTTTTATTTGTTAGCTCTGTGATTACATATGCATACCTATAAAGTTACCTAATCAAAAATAGCCACTTTTTCAAATGTTAACACACACACACAGAAACTGTTCATAGACATAAAAGTACCCTTGGCACTGGTGTTAGGTGCCACCAAGTCAGCTGTGGCTCATGGAGACTGTAGCACACTGCCTGCTCCTGCACCATCCTCATCACTCCATACATGGTCTTCCTCTTGCTTGCTGAACTTCTATTCTACCAAGAAGGGGTCCTTTTCCAGGGACTGGTCTCTCCTGGTAACCTGCCCAAAGTTTTTGAGATGAAGTTTTGCTATTCTTGCATCCAAGTAGCATTCTGGTTGTACTTCCTCAAAGACAGATTTGTTTGGTGTTCTGCCGGCGGCTTCTTTTTCCTCCACCCAGATCAGGCCACTTGATGTGCTTCGCATTACAAAGCTTCATTGGCATTTACTTTGCTTTCTGACCCTGTGCTTGTGTCTTTACCACTTTCACAATGATTTCTGGCTCGAAAATAAGGAAGGCACACTTGATCCTGTCCTGCACATATGGAACCACTGTAGGGCCTGCTGACCTATTTGACAACCTCATGAGAACTTTATGTCTCACAGCATGGGCCCCTCAAAGTGGGCCTGGGTACCCACTACATGCAGATTTGGGTGCTTCTTTGAACAAGAGTAAACAATTCTATTACCGGGGGGTTGAGATAGCCTACTTTTGTTAGGAGGCTGTATTGTCGGCCTACTGTACCACAGTAGGCCAGATGCTGAACCATTTTGAATGTTTCCACATAGCATCCCTGGAAGAGGAAGAATTATAGGTACTTTCAGTACTTCTCTCCAACAACCTAATTCGAATGAATCAATTCTTCTCTGGTCTTCCTCATGTGCTGTCAAGCTCTCACATGTATATGAGACAATTGAAAATACTAACTGACCAGGGAAACAACTCCAGTGACACTAACTTATGTATGAGAACATATATCAAGAAGACATCTGTAATCATTTTGGGGGCTAACATGGAGCCTGTAAGAAGCTATGGGTAGAATTTAACCTGTCACAGCCTGATGATGACCTCTCTTGGAGGTGCATCTGAGATATATGGTTCTCTGGGGACCAGCTTCTCTCTCTCCCTCCTTGTTGGACCAGTAGCTGCTTAATCCAGTTGACCTGCCTCATCGCTGAGCAGCACTTTCTAACACTTTACTGAGGTGAATGTGGACCACATCACTGTGCCATGCTATTCCATGCTGCAACACTGCTCCACCTTGCCTTGTCTGCTGCCTGTGGGTCAACTCCACTTGTCTTGCCATCATTGCAGACAGTGTACCTCCAGCCAGCCACCTCGCAGAGCTACACAGTGATGCTCCACCATGACTCACTACAGCAGTACTGGCCTTTGCTATACCATGCCACCTCGCCTTCCTACTGTCTGCTTCTTTGGCTTTGGGCTAGTGGCTGCGTGTGCTGGAAAGACCTGTAGTATATTAGCCGAGCCATGAAAGTGAGTTGCACTGAGCTCTCTGTACTACTGTGTGGACTGATTTGCTGTTATATTCTTTTTCACTACATTAAGTATCCACTAATTGATTTTTTATCATTTTGTTGGGGGCTCCTACAACTCTTATTACAATCCATCCATCCATCGTAGCAAGCACATTTGTACATGTTTCCATCATTCTCAAAACATTTGCTTTCTACTTGAGCCCTTGGTATCAGCTCATTTTTTTTCCTTCCCACCCCACTCCCTCCCTCCCAAACCCTTGATAATTTATAAATT